GCTGGGGATTGAACCGCAGTCCCTGTGCTTTTGTTTAGCTTAGCTTGTTCTAAGCAGGTGCTTTAGACCACTGAGCCATCTCACCAGCCCCATGTCTTCTGTTTTCATGGCAACAACTTTGTCTTTTGTAAACTGTGCCACAGTCTTTGGAGGGTTTCTTTGTGTCTTTAAAGAGCTGGGTATAAAAGAGGCATTCCCTGCCTTGCTCTACGTGTTTGCAGTTTATACCCAGTTCTAGGGAAGCAGAGATCTAGAGGCATTGGTAGAGAGCATTTTGCTTTGAAATGAACTTTTCAGGATTATGGAATAGCTTCATTAATACCACGAGTTCATCTCAGTATTATGCATTATGAATAGCCAGTTAATGTGGTGTTTTTGTTGTTTTATTGTTGTTGTTATTGTTGTTTTGGCAAAACCAGGGATTGAATTCAGGCCCTTGTGCTTGCCAGGCAAGTGCTTATTCTACTGAGCCATCTCCAAGCCCCAGTTAATGTGGTTTTTAATCCTTTAATTCAATTTTTATTTTTACACTTTCTATGCCTGTGAATCATGTGAGAATCTTGCTCAGAAGCAGAATCTGATTTGGGATGGGGCCAAAACCTCTACATTCATTCATTTATTCATTTGCCATGCTGAACTTAAGGCCTTGCATGTAATACGCAAGTGTGCTGCCACTAAGCTACATCCCCACCCAACTCCTCCATTTCTAAAAAAGCCCTGGAGAGATATTCTGGCCTTTGTTTTTTTTTTTTTTTTTTTTTTTTTCCTGAGATAGGGTCTGACTTTGAACTCAATATGTTGCCCAGGCAGACCTTGATCTTGTTGTTATTCTCCTTCCTCAACCTCCGGAGTGCCGCCACTGCAGGTCCAGCTTCTTTTATTTTTCTTGTGACGAAGCTTCCCTAAGTCACTAAATTGCTGCATTTTGAACTTATGACCCCCCCCCCCAAGTGCTGAGATTGTAGACTGTGCCACCATGCACAATCCATTCAGTGTTTTTTTAAAGTGTACAGTTTGCTGCTTTGGTAGTCAGGCTGGCGATCTCATCAGCTTGGGTAGCCGAAACAAGGACTGAAAGCTCAAGCCCAGCTTGTATGATTTAGGAAGACCTTGTTTCAGAGTAGAAAACAAATGAGTGGGCTGGTGAGATGGCTCAGTGGTCTAAAGCACCTACTTAGAACAAGCTTAGCAAAGCACAGGAACCGAGGTTCAATCCCCCAGCACCACATGCCAGCCAGCCCGCCCCCTGGTGGGCTGAGCTGCCCCCCCTTCAAATTAAAAAAAAAAAGAAAACAAATGAATGAGGATGTAGTTTGCAAGGCCCTGGGTTCGATTCCCAGCACATTAAGTTTTATCCTCCCAGGGCCGGGGAGATAGCTCAGTAAAATAAACACTTGCAAGCACAATGGCCTGAGTTCAATCCCCGGTTCCACCAAAAAAAAGTTTCATCCTCCCATCCCTTGCCCGTTTGTCTTGGTATGTGTTATTTATTTTTTCAAGAGGGTTTTGGAATTGTCTGGGCTGGGCTTGAACTTGTGGCCCTCTTGCCTCAGCCTCCGAGTGCTCTGATTACTTATGTGAGCCCTACCTCCCAAGTACTTTTTAAGGGGAAAATAGAATTTTTTAATCTCTATTTCCAACTTCAGTAGCACAGTTTTAGAAACAAATGTGAACCCATAAGAGCAACTATTTTCCATTCCTGCCTTTGTAGTGTTATAAGAGTATGCGAATCTCCCTAATGCCCCCCCACGCCCCCCCACCTTTTTTTTTTTGAGCTGGCTTGCCCACTCTGAGGGCGGGGCTGGCGCTGCATTTGGTGCCTGGGATCCAACTACAGTCCTCTGCACTTGCCTAAGCAGGTGTTTTAGATGGTTGAGCTTTCTTGCCGCCCCAAATCCCCCTTTTGTGACAGTCCCATGGTCAGGACTTTTGGAGATAGCAGTTCTTACCTTAGTTAGCCTTTGCCCTGTGGGGTTTTTTTTTTTTCCCTTTCTGTTTTTGTGGAACTGGGGATTGAACTCAGACCCTTGTGCTTGGCAGGGAAGCACTTATTCTACTGAGCCAGCTTCCCAGCCCCCATACCCTGTGTGTTTTATTTCACAGTTTTAACATAAAGATGGATGTTGGTTCTTGTGTCTTTTTTGGTCAGTTATGTTGGGATATTTTGAAGTTTTGGTATCAAGGGACTAGGATGAGGGTATAGGGGATTATGAAAGGGTGTCCTCTTCCTGACAATTTACATGGGTATGTATGCACTAACATCAGGCTCTGGGAATGAAGTGATAGACTTTGAGTATACAGTTTCTCCTTCTAAATAAATTGTGTATCTTCTTTAACTTTTTTTCCCCCCATGGTACTAAGAATTGAACTCAGGACCTTGCATTTGCCAGGCAGGCACTTATTCTATTGAGCTATCTCCCTGGCCCTCCTTAACTGTTTCAATACCTGTGTAGGACAGTATACAAGTTTGTGGCAGAATTGATTATTTGGAATTGGTAATTTTGTTTACAGGGTTTGGAGCAGTCTTAATGGATGAGTAAGAATTGACTTTATGTAGTAACAAATGTAATGTTTCGGTTGGTGGTTTGTTCCCTTTTGGCTGTACTTTTATATCAGAGTCACTATTCTGACTGCATCCCAGGAGCTAGGTGCTAGTCAGGAAATCAGGACTACTTTTCATTGCCTGCCTTTGGAGTGCAGGATGTTGTCCTGACCTGGCTAAGGTGCAGGGTACCACCTGGAGTGGCTCCAGGTGCTCAGAGGTACGCAGCTCTTGGTGGAAAATGGCTTGCTCTGGCATTTTGGATTTAATGTGCCAGCCCGAGGCACTCTGAGCATTCCTGGCCTCAATTCTCCTGTGCCCTCCCAGCTGACAGGAGGCTTGTAGAGTGGAAAGGTGGGAGCCTCAGGTTTTGTGTGTGTATTTAAGAGCTATTTGAAAATCACTGAAGAAGAAAGGGTTCTTTGTTTGTATCTTCATTCTGAGAATGGCAGAAATGAAAATTTCCCAAATTGATTTTCTTTATTTTGTTTCTTTCTTTATTTTTTGACGGAACCGGGGATTGAACTCAGACCCTTGTGGTTGCCAGGGAAGCGCTTATTCCACTGAGCCATCTCCCTGGCCCTAAATTGATTTTCTTATAGAATTTTTTTACCTTGAGAAGTTATAGGTTAGGCTGGGGAGATGGGCCTGCAAGCTCAGGGTACTGAGTTCAATCTCCGGTACCACAAAAAAAAAAAGTTAAAGGTCATATCTGCAGAGATTTTTTTTCCCTAGTAAGCCATGTGGAGTGTCTCAAAGTAATGGTGGCTTTTGTATCTGTATGAAACCATCATGTAGTTGTGGTTAGTATGCTTTCAAGTAATTTTTGTTTACCTTGCATGCTTTTCCTGTGTTGTTTTCTAGGATTCTCCTGTAAATGCATATCCTTAATTTAGTAGCAGGCAGATTGATGGTTTTTTGAATCTTTAAACCATAGGCACTCATTGCTATCTGTTTATCAATAAAACTTTGAAAAAAAAAATAAAATAAAACAAAATAAAAAAAATAAACCATAGGCAAAGAAATTGAGATTTTTTTTTTCTTTTTCTTTTTTTTTTTTTTTTTGCGGAACCGGGGATTGAACTCAGGTCCTTGCGCTTGCCAGGGAAGCACTTATTCCACTGAGCCATCTCCCCAGCCCCAATTGAGATTTTTTTTTTAAAAAGCCAGTAAATTGATTTCTCTTCTACAGCTGATGTGAGCAATGGTACAGTGAAGAAAGAGTCTTCTAATAAAGAAGTAGCAAGAATATGGATAAACGACATGAAAATGAGGAGTTTTTCCCCGACTATGGTGAGTCTTGGGTATCTGTGTCTATAGGTTGTGTGGGTTGTTGTTGTTTTTTTGTCCATCATCGGGGATGGAACTCTGGACCTTGTGCGTGCCAGTCAGGTGTGTATGCCACTGAGCTGTCTCCCCAGTCCTCCTGTGTCTATAGTTTTGAATAGGTGTGTGTGTATGTGAGAGAGAGACAGACAGACAGACAGACAGACAGAGACAGAGACCAGGACTCAAACTCACGACCTCAAGCTTGCCAGGCAGGCACTGTGCCACTGAATTATGAATTATATTCCTGGTCTGTGTAGTATATTTTTTTAGTTTTTAATTTTATTTATTTATTTATTTTTGTGTGTGTGTGGCCAGCTCAGCCCACCAGGGGGCGGGGCTGGCTGGCATGTGGTGCTGGGGGATTGAACCGTGGTCCCTGTGCTTTGCTTTGCTTAGCTTAGCTTGTTCTAAGTAGGTGCTTTAGACCACTGAGCCATCTCACCAGCCCCCTGTGTAGTATATTTTTGTATTGGTCTGGTGGGACACTCTTGTAATCCTAGCACTCTGGAGGCTGAGGCAGGAGGGGTTGGTACAAGCTGTAGGCTAGCCTGCACTACATGTCAGCACCCTGTCTCAAAAACCCAGAAAGGGGGCCAGGGAGATGGCTCAGTAGAATAAGCACTTCCCTGGAAAGTACAAGGGCCTGAGTTCAATCCCCGATTCCGCCAAAATGAATAAGTAAAAAAGAAAGAAAGCTAGGTGTGGCTATGCATGTTTGTAACCATAACACTCAGGAGGCTGAGGGAAAGGATTGCTGTAGGCTTGAGGCCAGCCTGAATTACATAGTCAGACCGTTTTTGAAAAAGTACTCTAGAACATGGAGCTGGTGAGATGGCTCAGTGGTCTAAAGCACCTACTTAGAATAAGCTTAGCAAAGCACAGGGACTGCGGTTCAATCCCCCAGCACCACATGCCAGCCAGCCCCGCCCCCTGGTGGGCTGAGCTGGCCACGCGCACTCACACACACACACACACAAATAAATGAAGGTAGCCTTTAAAAAAAAAAAGTACTCTAGAACAACAGAAAATTTAAGGTAGACTGTTTATTGAAATAAGTTGGGGCTGGTGAGATGGCTCAGTGGTCTAAAGCACCTACTTACAACAAACTAAGCAAAGCACAGGGACCCCGGTTCAATCCCCCAGCACCACATGCCAGCCAGCCCCGCCCCCTGGTGGGCTGAGCTGGACACACACATAAATAAAATAAATAAATTAAAAAAAAAAAGAAATAAGTTATTACAAGACTGTGCGTGGTGGTGTGTTCCTGTAATCCCAGCTCTTGGGAAGTTGTAAACAGGTGATCACTACGAGTCTGATCTAGGAGTGAGACCCTGAATGCCCTGTTAGACCCTTCCCTAAAATACAAAAAAAGGAAAGAAAGAAAATTATTATATACTACACAGGGTGATTAAAACTTATATTTGAGAGTATATAAGTATTGTATGTAACACTGATCTTTTTATTCAGAATTTTATTTGATAAGAAAAGACAATGTAGGGATAACTAGAAATCTTTGATAGACTTGACACATGTAATCTCAGCAGTTGGGAAACTGAGGCAGGAGGCTTGCCATGAGTTTGGGACAACTTTCACTATGTAGTAAGATCCTGTCTTAGGGCTGGGAAGATGGCTCTGTGGAATAAGTGCTTCCCTGGCAAGCGTAAGGGCCTGAGTTCAATCTCCGGTTCCACCAAAAAAAAAAAAAAAAAAAAAAAATCCTGTCTTAAAAAAAGGGAGAAAGAAAAGTTCAACAGCTGTAATTATTTCAGGAGTGAATCTGACTGAATATGTGTAACTTAAGACCTGTCAGATCATATAGTAATCTAGTTTTCTATAATTTGTTCTTAAATACTTGATATGTGTGCATGCCTGTAATCCTAGTACCTGGGAGGCTGAAGCAAGAGGAACACAAGTTTGAGGGCAGCTGTGGTTAGTGGGTTTGAGGAGAGCCCGGCCTACATAGGAGATGCTGTTTCACAAAAACAATTAAAATGAGGAAAAATTTTCCGTGTAATTGATTTTATATATTTATTAACATCTGTTGATAACTCTGGGGTAGTGGGCTTTTTTTTTTTTTAATTTTTGTTTTTTTGGTGGAACTGGGGATTGAACTTAGGCCCTTGTGCTTGCCAGGCAAGCGCTTACTTTACTGAGCCATCTCCCAGCCCCAGTGGGCTTCTATAAGAATAGTGCACAGTTCCTCTTTCAATAAGCATCAGCTCTCACAAATAGCAGGATTCCGCCTTAGCTCACAGTATTGGAGAGCACAGTGTGATGTTGATGATGTGGGCGCTGAGTTTCGAGGGAGGCAGGGCCTCCATAAGCATGAATTTCCTCTTGGGAAGGTGCTGTGTGCTGCTGGGCTTTGTAAAGAGATGGTGAAGGCATTTTAGGGAGGGCACCAAAGTATTACTAGTTTT